GATGGAATCCAGCAAGTTCAGGGTATGTTTGGGGGCAGAGCTCCATACATGAGAACAATATTTTGAAGAAGGTCTGATCTGAGCTTAATGAAGCATCAAAAGTTGCTGAAGTGTGTACAGTTTTCTGGTTCGGAACAGTGTTTCAAGCTTTTGAGAAGCAGCTTTTGCAAATCTAGCGACATGATTGTACCAAGACATATTGGTGTCCATTTTAACTACCAACAAACTTATCAAAGCAGAAAGCGGAATTGCTTGACCTAACTTTATTATATCCGGTTCCGAGACATTTTTCTTCTTGGAGAAAACCGATGCCTGGATTTTTGTGGCATTGAATTGAATCTGGATACTTTCACCCCAATTCAAAATCACTTCTAGATCCTCATTAAGATATGCAACCTCCTGCTGTCGGTGAAGATGTGCCTCCGTAGCTGATGTCATGGTATCCAAATGGAATGACGAGACAAGTGTGCTGTCGTCAGCAAACCAATATATTGGATTCTTGTTTTTTTCCAAATAAGTCGTTGATTTACTATAAAAAGATGGTTAGAGACAATATGAATCCCTGGGGAGCACCAGCGTTGATGGTGACAGCATTCAAAAAATATCCATCGACGGCCACTAGCAGGGAACGTTCTCTCAGGAAGCTGAAGAGCCATACACAAAAATGATATGACAAGCCACAGCATCGAAGTTTAGCCAGCAAACACTCATGCTACACATGGTCAAAGGCCTTAGAAATATCAAGCGCAATATCTCTTGATTCTCCGTGTTTCTAGATTGAGTTATTCCAAATGTGGGTGATATACGATGGAAGGTCACCTGTTGAAAGTTATTTTCGAAAGCCATATTGATGATCGCTTAAAATATTGAAGCCGTTCAAATATTTGAAAATATGGTGGTTTTCTCCATGATTTTTGATGTCACTGATAGCAAAGCGAATGGTCTATAGTTATTTGGAAGATGTTTCTTGCCCTTTCTGGGAATAGGCTGACCGCAAACAATCTTCCAATAAGAAGAAAATATCCCTTTCTTATGAGACAGGAATAAATCGAAGGAAAGCTGGTACATTATCAACGATCTCGGCTAAAAGGCCAGTAAACATTAAGCTGATGTTTGCTTTAGACCCCGATTCGTTAGATAAATTTCTAATGCACCATAGCGGACAAACTCACAGAGAATGTATCATCAAAACTAGTAAATCCCCTTCATTTTCTTTCCTATGTTGACATATCCGGAAGTTTCCCCCTCTATGAAACAAACCCCGATGAATCAATATCGGTTATTGAAGATATCAAAAACAAGAATATCAAGGGTATAGACGGCATTTCTGTTGAAATATTTGAAAATCTATTTGATATATTTGAAACTCAACATCAGTTGTTTTATCAGCCTTTTGAATCTGGTGAATTCCCATCGTTTCTGAACACGACTTTCATAATCCATAAGGTTGGGCCTGATGATATCTCTTCTAACTACAGGCCTTCAATACTCATTCTTACCTTTGCTGAAATCATATCTATTCGTAATAATAATAACATTCTCACTTCTCGCCAATTCGGATTCCAATAAAATAAGGTTACTAGTGATGTTATGTTCTCAATCAGAAAAGATATATTCTCGATATGCTAAATCAGTTGCTGCTATTCTATGTGACCTATCGAAAGTATTCGACTGTGTCAATCATGAGATCCTTCTGAATAAGTTGCAACAGTATGGCTTCAGAGGCAACACCATTCACTGGTTCCATTTATATCCATTGGGCCGCAAACAGATAGTTGAAACAATCGAGTGTTTTTCTGATCAGAACATCAAATGTGGTATTCTGGTAACCCAAGGATCGATCCTTGCTCCAATTTTGTTTCTAATTCACATAAATTATTTAGCTTTTATAGATATAACGGCCACGACCACCCTCTTTGCTGATGACATCATGTTATGGCACACCAAGGACATTCCTACTCTTCATGAGGTCATCTTCGAAAATATCAACAAAATCAAAGAACAGTGCGACTGCAATATTAATGATACTTCCACTGCAACTCACCTGTGATCTATCTTGGCAACGAAATCACAGAAAGGGTATATAATTATAGATTTCTATGGTTAAATATTAATGATGAACTAAAGTTTGAAAAAACCTATGCAAGAAGCTTGCCTCAGGTTGCTATGCATCAAGAGTCATCTCGACAGAATTAGGCTACTCCCATTCAAGAACAGCTTATTTTGCTTTCATAGATCCCCATATTAGATATTGAATTGCCGTCCAGGAGTTTGCTCTAGGGATTTATTTCAAATGATTTTCGTGATCCAAAAAGGGTAGTCCAATACATGTGCAAAGCAGCTCCCAGGCATCCATGCAATTCTCATTTTCTANAAATATCCATCGACGGCCACTAGCAGGGAACGTTCTCTCAGGAAGCTGAAGAGCCATACACAAAAATGATATGACAAGCCACAGCATCGAAGTTTAGCCAGCGAACACTCATGCTACACATGGTCAAAGGCCTTAGAAATATCAAGCGCAATAGCTCTTGATTCTCCATGTTTCTAGATTGAGTTATTCCAAATGTGGGTGATATACGATGGAAGGTCACCTGTTGAAACTTATTTTCGAAAGCCACATTGATGATCGCTTAAAATATTGAAGCCTTTCAAATATTTGAAAATATGGTGGTTTTCTCCATGATTTTTGATGTCACTGATAGCAAAGCGAATGGTCTATAGTTATTTGGAAGATGTTTCTTGCCCTTTCTGGGAATAGGCTGACCGCAAACAATCTTCCAATAAGAAGAAAATATCCCTTTCTTATAAGACAGGTTGAAAAGTGTGCAAAATACTGGTGCGAGTTCATTTGCGCAGTTGTCAAGTACGATGACGGGTACTTCATCAGGGCCACAGCATTATGGATTCTAGTGTCAGAATAGTGGGTGGTGCCTTTCCCAGAAAATTGACTGTGGATTAGGACGCGAATTGTTCAGCTAGTAGATTTGCTTTTTCTATGGCTGTTGTTGCAATTGAACCATCCGCTTGTATTAATGGGAGAATTGTGGATTTTTTAAAGTTCTGATTAACAGCTTTAGCTACTGACCAGAGGGATCCAGACCGGTTCGGATTGACAAGCAGTTTATCCCTAATTGAACCAATGTTTGTCGTTTCATTGAAGAAGGAATATATACATCCATGAATGATAGAATAACTGACGTGACTTCAGAAGCACAAGTTTATGGATCTTGATGTGCTCGTAGTATTCACTTCATTGGTATCTTATCATGGTTCATAGAATATTTTCATGTAAAATTCTTTTAACCGGTCCACTTCCGGAAGTAGTATCCACATAACTCGTTAGCAATAAAAATTTACAAAAACTTCAAGGTATAAAGTTGAAATCTCTTCCATAAATCTAGACACAATAAAATTCCTGAAGCCAAGTATCATCACAAGGGTAGCATTAAAGGCAAGAGCTTTGACTTTCTTACGAAAGAACGATGATTAACAGACATATATCGCAAAAGAACACAAACGGAGCTCGAAAGACGAAAGCCAGTCAAAGAAAAAAATATAATTATATCAAAGAAAATGACCATCAAGAGTGTGGATTCTCGTTCTAAATTCGGAACAAATAAAGGCTCCAGACAATTAATATCAGATCATTCAGTTTTCAATAATGAAATATCTAAAAATATTGGTTGTTTACGAGTATACTCTTACTTTCTCCTTGTATACAGTGTTTATTACTGGCTCGTCTCCAATATTTCATAAGTTGAAAATAATATGCAACATCAAAAAAAACAGGTTTAATTTTGAAAGAGAATATAGATCTCAATATAATGATTGAAGTTTCAATATTATATTGAGTTGTGAAAGATATATCATTGGTTATTGAATCGGTTATTGTTAATTTGTGGTTCTAGAATTGATGATGGTTCTTTAGTGCAATTTTCAAAACAAAATGTATCAATTAATTTCGTCCATTGTCTTATATGATTCTGCTATGATTTGATGAAATAACAAATAAAATTGGAATGAATAGCTAAAATATCAATTATCTCAAACAATATAACGTGAAATGAAAATATAACAAAACAAATAAAATTGTTATGTACACTATCGAAACGTCGTGAAGTAACTTGGTTTGAAATCTTTTTTAATTTATAAAACTTAGGAACTATCTTTGGGTGATCAGTAGAACGGAAGTGTACTCTTATAATACAAGTTATCCCAATATTTCAAGTTTATTATCATTATCAAGGAAAAGCTACAAAAAAATTATGCAATAATATAAATTTTGTTACAAAAAGGCTCAACTTACTGTTGGTGAGGATGGCTGTGTCGAAAAGAATGTTACATTTAAACAGTTGAAACATGTCATGTTTTGACTCCACACCTAAACATAAACTCACAAACGAACGATTTTCAAATTGAATCACAGGACAACTGTCAGTGTCAATTGTTTTTTATCTCTCTCTGTGGTCTGCAGCCACATGGCTTTTACCAGTAAATTATAATTTCAAACCATATAACGATTTTATTATGTTAATTTAAGTAATCTTACTAGTATCAGTGAGGAGTCAAAACTTTCTTTTAATGAGGTTTTATTCAATTGACATGTTTCAACTGTTTGAATGAAACATTCTTTTCGACACGGCCATCCTGACCAGTTTTGTTTCTAACTAGTCAGCAAAGACTGTTTGTTTACTGGAAATGTTATCCATTAGAAGTCAGGGCGGCGGTGATAGAAAACCGATGCTACACGCTGAAGAAAGGTTGCGATTGCGATGGTTTTGTTTTACTTAGTGAATCACTTTGAAGATTAAGCTCTCAATTTTATTTCACGTTGTACTCAGGTATTTGAGTGATTTGAAATTGAAATTGATAGTTGAGAACATTATCTTGTTAAAGTGAATTTTATTATATTTATATTATTATTATAATATCAGTTACGCGCTGATGCGACACTATGAGACACAAAAAGAAAACTATAGGCATATTTTATGTTACCCATGGGAAGCCGGGTGGGGTCACTAGTGCGATATAAATTGTGGAGAACTCGCTAAAAATTACGCATTTGGTATAGTGGACTGTTGAAAAAATAAGGTGAATGTTCAAATTTTGCGGGCTACACGTAAATTCGTTCCGCAATTCTTTTTTATTTTCTACTGCTGGCACACTCGTCTCAGAAATATGTTCACAGTTTCAGCTATTTAGCATGTTTACTTTGTTGGTGAGAGACATAAAAGTTACAAGTGTTTTGCGTGTTTTCTGCTATATTCTGCTATGGAAAAAATGAATCAAAGAATTTGATGTGCTCAAAAATACTCGAAATGTTGACAGTGGCATACGTTGAAAGTACTCTGAGTCAGAAAAATGTTTACAAGTGGTATAAGCTTTTCACAGAAGGTCGAAGAAATGAAATAACGACGCTCGCCCTGGACGCCCCAGCACATCAACAACAAAATGAAAATTGATGAATAAGTAACTATTTTGGCCCGAAACACAAAAGGTGGGATATTGAAGGAAGAATTGAAATCAATCTTGAACAAGACTTACTACAAATAATTATAGAAAGTAAGAAATTGAGTTTGTGGCTAGATGCTAATGAGATTTCACCAACATATAAATTCACTTTGTCGTAGCGTGCAGTATCTAACGTCAACTCTATCAAAGTAGAGACATTATCACTTCCAAATTGAAGTTGAAACTTTGCGAAACGCTTATACTGTCTAGATTAGCATATTGCGATATAATCTACGGGCCTACTTTGATATAATTTGATGTAAATCGTTTACAAAAAATACAAAACAATTGCATTCGTCTTTCTTATGGTGTGAGAAAATTCGACCATATATCCCCCAAGTTCGAGGAGTTACACTGGTTACCGATTGCTAAAACCTGGCAGTTCCACTTACTCGTCAATACACATAAATTCCTCATTTACAAAGAGCCAAATTATATTTATGAAAGATATAAATCTTTCAAATATCAAAAGAATTCGAGAACACGAAACCGTCACACCTATTTTATTCCAAAGACAGCCTGCTTTTCTCGTAGTTTTATTTACAACTCTATAAAACAATATAACGCTCCGCCAAGTGAATATAGACACTACTCCATATATAATTTCAAGAAAAAGTTGAAAACATATGTGAAGTCTTCTAGATAGATAATATAGTCATGTTACGCCTTGCTCATATGGTTTTCCCTTTGTCTCACTTTTGAGTGTTTTGCTATATATTTTACCTTATTCAAACTAAATAGATTTATAACCATTGTTATTTTCTTAGTTTAATAAAGATTAAAGAATACATGCTATTCCCTAGGTTATGTTATAAAACAGCCTCGGCTGAACTTAGCCCTGATATTTGTATATACTCCTTCTTTATATAGAATGTATGTCAATGAATTAAGTCCATTCATTATTATTTTTTTTCTTTACCGTAGTGAGCGCTGGTCAGGCCCTATCCCCCGAAGCTCCAAAACGGGAAAGCGCGCCAGCATTATCAACCAATGACCACTCCCCATACCGTGGGGTAAGTGATCATTGGGTCCGACAATCATGTGCCCTGAGCAAGCGCAGTAAGCCAAAAATGAAAGCCTTCTGCATCTGTGTGGCTAAGATTTCTGCCTTAATGTGCAAACCGGTATGATTTTAAGATTCGAGAGTGGAGAGGGCATCATTCCACCAAGGACTCCAATAGTTATTTTTATTATTATTATATAAATATTTTTTGAGAAAAATGAAAATTCACCTTATTTTTTGAACAGACAACCTATAAATATAAACACATTCGCCCACCTAGGAGTAAGTGAATATTGAAATTCCTTTTTTTTACAGATCAGAACAGCTAACAACATCCTTCTGTTTCATCTGGGAACAATCGACATACTCTTAGGAGTTCTCTTTCTCATTTTTTCAATACCCGGAATAAAAGGCACAGAATGGTCAACTGCTGGAACGCCTTGTGTTTTTCACGGATTCCTCTTCACGCTCCTCCATCCCCTTGCTTTGTGGACAATATGTGGGCTCAACTGTGACAGATTCTATATTATTGCTGCTCCACTGCATTATAGTCATATCGTCAGTCCAAAGAAGGTAAAATATAAAATTTTAATATGAATATTGAAGACAAATTGCTATTCATCTTTCAAACAAATGAGTACAGTATTCTGCATTTTCAAAGCTTCAATTCACCGATTCACATTGATTATGGAAGTTTTTCCGAATAATTAACGTAAAGACGTTCGCCACATCGGTCGGTCGGTAGCCAAGCGGTTCGGCGTGAGTGATTTGTTCACTTACTCGAATTGACTGCCGTGTTGGTCGGTGGTTCAAGCCCTAGTCTGAACGATCGATCTTCACTTGCTATCGTTCAACCCGTGTTAGGAATCACACGTTAAAAGGTAAGGCCTCGTTAATCCTTAGCTCGCACAAGTTTCGACTTCTGAGGGTTGTCGTTCGTAGGGGTGCGACAGCTGGTTAACGGAAAACAGATTTTAAACAGATTTTAAACAGATTTTTTTGAACACGCGGGACGTTCAACTGCTGTCGAAAAGTAAACGTACATAGTCCGGTCAATTTAGACATTCGAAGCTACCTAAATTCCCACCAAGATGAAAATCAGTAAGATTCTTCAAAATATGAATAAAAATAAAATTTGAAAGTTTCCCATCTTTCCCCAATATGGAAAAAATTGTAGATCACAAAATTATCTACAAAAAATCTATCAATACTTTTTTTTTCTACGAGCCACCATTTTTGAGATATAACGATTCAAAGAGTTGTAAAAGTAGTAATCGTCATAATATGCACACGTTTCCACGCCACCTATGAGATAGTGTACTTAGCGCGTTTTTTTTAACGTGGTTTTCCCAGTAAGCCTATTCCACGGATCAGTAGTGATCCTGTTTAATTTGAAACTATTGCAAGATAACAGATATTAGCAGAGATTGAAAAAATGAAAGCAATTCAAGTTTTAAAAAAATTGTGAAATTTAACCGTCCGAGTCGTAACTTTCAAATTCTTCTTCTTGTTCTTCTTCTGATTCTTCTTCCTGATCTTGTTCTTGTTCGTCTTGTTCTTCTATTTCTTGTTCTTGTTCCTTCTTGTTCTTCTTCATCTTCATCCTGAGTACATGTAAACTGCGTTAATAGTGATGTATTGCATGTCGCCTCGTTAGAATCAAACTGATCCTCCGCTGTTGGTGATTCAATATTAGAGCACGACCGGCCTTGACAATGTATACATGCCAGAGAACGAAACAGTCCGGATTTTTTGTAACCACATTTAGCACTGCACTCCTTTTTGCAGTTGCAAAAAATTGTGTTCTGCAATTTTTCCGGCGCTGGTGGAAGTAAAGTTTAGACTGATTCTAATGAATTGTTGACCAACTTCCAACCCCAGTCTGTAGGGTCTAGCTGATAACCAAACCAAACTTGAACTTGGTAATATACCTGAAAAAGATGTTGATGAGCAAGAACTGAGGTTGGAGGAAGACAAGGTAGTTTTTTAGGAGCTCCGTACATAGAAAGAAGAAAGCGAATGCTGTTAGTGATAATTTCTTGTCGAGTTGAATTACTATTTTTAAAAACTTCAGCAAATTAAACTAAATGTTATTCAAACATTTTGAAAACTGTTATTTTACCCCTCCTGTAAAATGCAGATGTCATATCACAGCCAGTTATTGCGTGTAAAAATAGTACATGATTTTGACACTTTGCAAAAGTAGATACACTTTTTGATGAATATATTTCCGATTGATGTTGAGCTTTTCCTGGTTTTAAGAAGAAAATAGTTTTTTCAATTAGAGTTCGAGCAGTGAGTAATACGAGTAAATCCACATCTTCACCAACAACAATAGTTGTATTTGTCAAATTGAATTGCTCTGTTGCTGTTTCAATTATCAATACATCAGCATGATTATTAGCTTGTTTCACCAATATATTTTCAGCAGTGAATTTTTCTTTCAACACTGAAATGAACCGAGACTTGTTGTGAGTATTTGTAAGAAATTTTTGTTGACTGGTTGAAACTGTCATATTTTCATCAAATAACATATGATGTAAATGTTGCAAATCTTTGACGACTTTTTTCTGCATCTTTGGTATTTCTCGTGCAATTATTATAGCCATCAAATATGACAGTAACTCTGGAACCAAAATGTCGACGTACATACTGTACGTATTTATCTATGATAACGTTAAATGTTTCTTCGCTATCCCACCCAACGCGATGTAGTAAGTATCCTCCGTCAATGATGTATATCGCATTTGTGTTGTTAATATCAAAATCTACCTTTTCGAAACAAACGAAAATGGCAGACTTCTGTGTTTTACGCATACGTGAATAATTTTGTCATCTACAATTTTTGTCTGAAATATCTTTATGATAAAACTCACCGGTTTGCTGAAAATCACGAAAAACTCACACAGTTTTTTGACCTTTGACCTTGAATAAAATGTTTTCCATACAGGGGAAAGATGGGGAACTTTAAAATTTGAGTTTTAATCATATTTTAAATAAACTCACTGATTTTCAGCTATACAAGAGTGTTTGAATGTAGAATGTATACGATACATGGTCATCCTGAAAATATATGAACGAACGCTGAAGAAAAGATGTTATGAAAAGACATGATCGCAAAAGAAAAGAATGAGAGGAATAAAGAAAGGAATGCGAGGAAAACAAGAACTGAAATATGAAAAGAACAACAGGAAGAACAGGAGAAGAAACGAAAAAAAAAAGTAAAACAAGAAAGAAGAAGGAAAACGATCCGGAAGAACAAGAAAAGTGCGAATTCCAAAAGATATTGCAAAAAAGAATCTGGTTCGTGAATAAAATACCAACTGTATCATATTCATATGAGCATCCAACCACTTAGGCAGATTCTAGCCATTTCCACGAGGAAAGTCTCCAACTTTTGATTGCTAATTATCAAAAGCTGTGTACCATCGACAAGTCGAGTTAGTAGCCAACGGCAACGGCTAAAAGAAGAGCAACGGGCTACTGCCCGGGGAGCAGCTATAATGATTATCAAAGGATTGTGGAAGCTCTGGAAATGTGATATGGATAACAGTGCTTAAAGCAAGTATGCCAAAGCCAATAACCACAGACGACTTTGTAGGTTTGTCGTGTGGATATCGCAATACCAATCAGTTGAAGGATTGAAGGTTACAGAATTGGAGCAACTCTTGAAGATTATTAGACACCTATCGATGCATGCTGAATTGATAGCGGCACTATATAGGTTGATACTGACAAAATTGCTTTCAAAAGAACGGAAATGCAGTTGACAAATACCTAAGTGACGTTGAAATTGTAATGCAAAAAGTTCATGAAAAACATATTTGAATCAAAGGACTTCACCAACACCAGAGTGGAGACACAAGTCACCAAGAACAGAGAAACGACCCAAATCTCCAAGCCCTGAAAAAAGACGAAGTCCTTCTATGATGAATAGGTAGCCAAACGATCAAAGAGGTCTTAAAGAAATCCTGGTATCAATACTTCAGGATGTGTGGCAGGTCTGCAACTCCGAAGGAAGAAACATTCAGCAACCGATACGTGCTTGAACTGAAAAATCAGATTCAGAGGCCAGTCCCATGAGATAATAGATACCTGAAAGAATGAGAATAATCTTGAGCTGATTCGTAGCTGGCCTAATGGAAAATTAACGAAGGAGTTGGCTCTGATTTTCAGCGATCCTCCAAGCATGGTGCAATTGCTAGGGTTCACTAAGCTCGGAGGAATTGTCTATTCCTCCGCGATGGCGGAGAGTGATGTAAACGATGTGACCTCTGGACCTCTGTGAAATATGCCCGCAGTGGGTTCATCGAAAAGACCAGAGAACGAGGGGAAATGGATAACTGCTCACCGAGCTTCCCACGATAACGCTTACAGATTATTAGTGACTCAAAAAAGCTGCGCTAGAAATTTAAGAATGGTAAGTTCCAGCAAAGAAGCCCATGTATGGTAATACCCACCTCAGAGAAGATGAAAAGGACTCTTTCCTGTAGAAAGGCTGACCCCATATAAATTACTATTATTGTGATGATTTGTATTCTCAAACAAAGTTAGTCTGGATATGCGTAATCGTAACATTGGTGGCGACGGATAGATGTAACAGTGCCTATACTGCTATAAAAATATTAAATCATGAATACTCTCTATAACCTCCTTTACTAACTTACTGAAATAGATAATACTTTCCAGGCCATCTGAAGAGGTAAAAATAAGGTAGAAATAGTGAATAATCTACTGTGTACACCTTCTGTGTGACAAGATGAAAGTGTATATTTTTTTAGACCGTCTGCAAAGACGGAAGTAGCGAGGGAAAGAAGTTTTATTGAAAATCGCCATTGTACACTGGCAAAATTTGTGCTGTAGATTTATTCAAAGTAATAAACGTATGCAAGAGTTTTCCTAACAGTTTGAAGGAGGATAGGAAGCAAACAGTGTTAAAATGTATCGTTAAAAATCGAATTTGAACACCATATTGAGGCTTATTTTCCTTGGAGAACGATTCAACAAGATGAACGTCATTTTAGAGTTCTCCATGTCAACTAATGAGATGAAAATAGCATAGAAATTGTAAAAGAAGTATCTTAACAAATTGACTTTGTGTAATATATCAGATGTGTACATGTGTTTCCTTGAGGTCGATTCCTATCTGTCAGAAGGGCAAAAATTGTATCTTTTGAAATTAACTTCATACAGCAACCAAATTGGTAACCTATTTTCTGATGATAGATTCAAGCATTTCCTCCTAGTTCAACACGGGTGAAAAAAAATCGTATATTGAAATTCTACTTAGTTGTTATTCTTGAAGGAAGATTTATAACAAAATGATCAATCACAACGTTCAAACTTTGGATTCCGACTAGAGAAAGAAAGTAGGCAAGATGGAAAAGTTCAAAATTCAAATAATCGAAGATCGACCCTTCAGAATAAGACATGGTCGATCTAAAGGTCGATTCAAGGAGATAGACAAGGAACTTTTCAGACCGCCCTGAAAGTGAAAATACAAGAAAATTTCGTTTCGTAGTTCTTTGTAGACTTATGTCTTATTTTTGATGGTAAAATCAACAAAATGAATCTTCGAATTCTTCAAACCGAATGGGTAAGTGAAAAATCAGGAAGAAAAAGTAAGAATTCACATCTTGTACACGATAGGTGTTTGAGTTTCAGACTCCCATTTTCCACAAAATCAAATCTAAAAAAAGATATATAAACAAAAATAATACAGAGCGAAATATTTTGATGTGTTTATCAAAAACTATGCAGTAATGTGATTATTACAACATAAAGGATATAAAATATGAAACGATATTCGCGATAAAAACCCTTGATAACGTTCAAAATTAGGTTAATGAACAATACTTAAATCTTTCTCAATTACAGAGTTTGTACGAATGTTAACGTATAGGTAGTGAATTCCTGTGACAAATCTTTTTTTATCAAAGAGTTTGCAAAAAATTGTAGTGCACAAGTAACGAACACTTTAAACAAAAAAAATGTGACTACCTAATTACTCTCCAATTCAGGAAGAGTATTAGTAGACCATTCAGTTCATGCAAAAATTTGTCAGTTATATTGTAGGTATATGTTTGTTAAACTATCAACTAGTATATGAAGATAAACACATATTTTTTTGTTAGTACACAAGTACACACATTGCGTTCTACACAACTTTTTTATAACTTTCGAAAAATATTCATATACCCCTAGATAGCCATGAAAGAATAATTTTCATCTCGACGAGTTCAAATAGTACACTAAAACTAAAGTTTGTCTATTGATCATTCTGAGAATTCTAACCATCCACAATCTCAAGAACTCTGATTTTCTTCACAAAAAAAGACTTTTATTCAAATTATCTACAGAAACAATTCGTTCAGGCCAGTATTCACTTACCTACACAGTAGGTTTATGGACGGATACCTATCAGAGAACAATTAGTCTTTCTATTGATCTTAACCGCTGAGGTTTTCAGTGTCATTTCTTTTCGAGTTTAAAAGCCGTGGAGTTTTGGAATTTCTTCCATAGTTTTTTCCATAGTTGTTCAAGTCATTGAAAAATTATTTCGCCAAATTCATTTTTTATATCGGAGGTTCAATTTTATTAGTGGTATAGTATATACGAAGTCAATTCGAATGGTATAAAAACTAAATAGTTAGGTACCGAACGTCGGCAGTTTCTTCATATGGCATGGGCGGCGTGGTATTCATACGAGGACTAATCATTATTTTTATGCTGAAGGTTTTATAAGGTATTAACTAGTAAATTTATTATACCGGTACATTAATCTTTTATTCAGCTGTTCGACTGGACTTCGTATAGATTATAAAGACTGTGTTTCTACTATTGTGATGATCTAACAATATAATTTTGTATCTATGATCAGTAGATCATTCAAAACGTAATTGATCCAAAAATATAACAAGAGTATCCTCATTTTTGCAAAAGCGTATTTTCTTTGATAACTATATAATATAATTGTTTGATGGGATAAACTGACTTTTCAATTTTAGGTCTTAGTAGGATTAGGAGCAGGTTGGGCCATATCGCTATTACTTTGCATTCCACCACTTTTCGCCATTGCTCCTTACAGTTACATCCCCGGATTAGGAGCTTGTGGTCCCGACTTTTCTAGCGGCCCTGGAACTCTGTGGTATTCCACCTTATACACGGCATTTACACTACTTCTTCCGGCTACAGTCATCATATGCTGCAATTTGAAGGTAACCCACACACTTTTATTACCCTTTCCAAGTATCAAAATATAGAATTTGATAGCTCACATTTGTTTTTGAGTTTGTTATGAACACGTTCTTATCTTTGAAAGCCTTTTTTGTGAACCACACAATACTTCTTACTATTTTTTGGGTGTAAAGGTTGGTCTGGAAAATTTCCGACCTAACAAAAATACAAGAGATTATTCAGATTCGTTTTTATTTTCCAACATAGTCTTTTTCAACTCTACACACTTCTCCCAACGATGTTCCCATCTCTGTCACCCATCCAAATAATACACGGTGTTTTTCTCTGCGAAATAATTGTTCACGAAGGTGATTGCCTCTTCATTTTGCGAAAATGTCTGTCCTCCAAGCGCAATTTTCAGATGAGGGAACAAAAAGAAGTCGCTTGGGGCTAGATCTGGTGAGTAAGGCGGATGACTAAGTAGTTCAAACAGTAATTCGTGGATTTTTCCATGGCAACCGATGAGGTGTGAAACGGTGCGTTGTCTTGGTGAAACAGGGTCTTCTTTTTCTGCAAATGTGGCTGTTTATCCGCAAGTTCTGCCTTCAACTTGTCAAGTAATAATGTGTATTATGCTCCTGTAATGATTTTTCCTTTTTGAAAATAATCGAACCGGTTCCCCCTTTGCAGTCCACTGTTTGGACAGTACTTTTATTTCGGGCGTATAATGGTGTTTCCAAGTTTCATCAACAGTAATCATTCGACGCCAAAACTCCAATTTATTTCGCCTAAATTGCACGAACAGAGCGTTGGAAATGTTCGTTTTAACACGTTTTTGATCTAACATGATCAAACGCGGCACCCAACGCCCAGCTTTCTCATGTCTAAATGTGGATTTAATATGTGACAAACACGTTCTTTCGGCATGTTTATAACTTTGGCTATGTTTTCGTCGGCTGTTGCAGTTTTTGGACGTCCCGAACATTCACCGTCTCCCAAGCTCTTAGGTTAGATTAGGCTAAGTCCAAACCGAGAGATTCTATTCGAGCCTCCACCGTAACCCGCAAGGGTTTATTGTAGCTCACACCTACTCACACTCAACCAAATGAACCCAGCTTCTTAACGAAGCCGATTAGTTCGTATGGTGAGTGGTCTTTCAGGTCAGATGGTAGGAGTACGGCTCTGCCGAACTCTAAAAACCTGATTCGATCCCCAGCCGGGACCGAATCAGGTTCCATCATTTCCCAAACAGAGGCTACGCACACTGTTTTCCGACACTCTGAGTCTCTGCATATGTAGATTTAAATGACAGTGACCTGTAAGGAGGCCTGTTGGACATCGTAGTTCATCCCTATTGCAGTCCAACAACTGTTTGGTATCAAGCTTCGAAGGGTGAATGAACGCCTTGGAGTGAGCCACTCCTGGAAGATTCTGCCAGAAGTCCATGAATGTTATTGCCATCCAGCTGTTCAATATTTGTTTGGCAAAGCCTAAAGCGATGTCAATAACAGGTTCTAATCCGATGAATCTGCTTGCAGCACCCTCCTTTGCAAGAGAGTCAGCAGCCTCATTGCCTTCCAGGCCGGTATGGCCAGGAATCCAGACAGAGACAATCTGTTGAGTCTTCCTATTGAGGAGAGTCGTTTGTGGCAATTTGGTACCAATGTAGACGTTGCTCGGTAGGAGCCAAGGGCTTTCAACGCCGCTTGACTGTTCGAGAATATTTTCATTGACTTGAGTATGTGGTTGGATTCTTCCAATCTCTCCGTACACAATTCAATAGCGTGAATTTTCGCTCGAAATAAATCGCATAGGTTCCTAGGCATGTTCTCCCAAGCTCTTACGACCACCTTTAAATTCAACTGCCCAAAATGTCACTATGGTAAATAATGGTGTAGAGTCCCCATACACAGAATCCAACTCATTTTTGAATTGCGTAGGCGCATTGCCTTTCAAAAACAAATATTTAATGCCAGCTTGATACTCGATTTTGTCCATTTTCATAAAAATACTCACATCAACTCACTGAAACAACTGTTACATAAAAACTGCGCCTCCAAAATGACTGGAACTTTGATGAGTAACTGTCAATAGATGAAAAACAAAATTCACTATCTTTTATTTAGGAGTTGGAAACTTTGACACCATTCTCGCGTATACCCAAAAAACAGTAAGAAACACTTATCTGTTGATAGCTTATTTCCAGAGAATTTTCCAAATACGTGCATGACATTTTAATAAAATTTCACTTCCCACGATTAGAAAAAATAAAAAATTTTATGTGTATGAATGTATTGAACTTTCGTTGTTCAATACATATATACACTTTTCATATTGCCTGCATGTATCTACTCAGTATCTGTTTTTGAATATTGGTAAACTTTCTTCATTTGATGATTTATGATATGAGTAACACGTGAATTCAGATATATTCAACTTTTTGGGGAAACATGTGTTAGCAGAATACATTTTTTCAGTCATATAATGAACAAATCACCTATAAATGGCACTATTAAAATAATCGGTTCAAATTTTGATTTTTTGAAATTTTACCTTTATCTACTATCGAAAGTTTCTTCAGATTCACTCCTGAGCCGTTCGGTGTCAGATGCAAAAACTATCGAAATCGTCACAATAAGTGCCCTAAAAATTGTCCATTTTCAAATCAAATGTTATAGAATCAATCAGTTATTATTCATGATATTTTACAAAATGAATATTTATTCATCAATACCTTGAAGTTTCAATCCTTTCAAAATGTGATCCTCTGATTGACATAATATACAATTTTTTAAATTTTTGTTTGTCAATTTGTTTGTCATTATCTTTTCGAAGATTAAAATAAAGTCAGCATTATATATAAAATGAAGTTTGATCATTGGCGATTGTTTTTCTCAGTTATTCAATCTTTGTACTCTCGATTAAAAATCGAATCTAAAATATGAACACTGTCAACTCATCTTGGAATTTCAATAATTTCACGAAAATTGTTAAGTTCTTATTCAATATATTTGTCAACCTACATGTTGTTTGCTTTTTTCGCTGCCAAGATAAGAGTGACTTCTTTGAATACATAAACCCAAGAATTCAATAAGCACACTTTATCATTTGCTGAATACTGGAATCTCATTCGCATTCCTGATTATTTACTTGAATAATCTTCGCCTGACTCTCATATTTGTCATTGACTATATTTATCTCGACAACTTTGATCTGCTCCAAAAAAGGGATTAAAAGTTTATCTGAATTTCAATCAAACTATCTTAAATTCACAAAAATACTAGCTCAACAGGATGCCTTAAATTAGTTAACACAATAGATTATGGCTTAGCAGAGTGTTTCAACTTGTAAATCATAAATAAAGAGAATTCTAGCTTGGCGGTTGTTCCAAGTTCTTAGTGACAAAAGTACTTGTCCATCTCAAATGGCTGACACACAAATAGTTTTTTGTACAACTGCCATTAAAAGTGACATTTTTAATCGTTGTTAAGAGTTTTAAAAGATGATGTTTACAAAGTAGCGTGTTAAAAGTATTTTCAACACGATTTTTTCGACCAAATAGCAATAAACAAAACATAATTATTCAATTTTCAAGAAAGTTTTATTATTAACAATAGATATAGATACAAATAAATTATGTAACAAATGTATTATATACATAAATTACATTATTATTATTTATGAACATCAATATGAAAAGTACAATTTAACGCCTAATGAAAGTCCCTATAATAGTACAATTAGAACAACTGCTGATATTAATACCTTGGGATGTTAAAGAGCCTTGTAATATATTTGAACTATCTGAATTGACAATTTCATGGGCATTTACATTTAATTTTTGGACGATTATGTAACTCTGGAGCTAGCTGTTGGGATTTTTCTTTCAGCAATAGCCTTTATATAAGAAATAGATTGATCGATGTAACCCTCGGCTACTGTTGTAGACTTCCATCACCCGTGCTTCTTAATATCTGTTATATTTGCTCCTGACTCTGCTAGCAAAGAAGCAGAAAACCTTCTGAAACAGTGACCAATATATTCCTTTGGTTTCGGGAGGTTCAGAAACTTAGCAATTGTATAGAGCATTTTCCCAAACGTGTTTATACCACCTATCACAAAATAAAACCTTACATTTAACAATTATATCATAAATAGCTATTCTAGCTCAGATAACTACCTTAATTTGTTAACACAAAACTATTTTGAAGAAAAGTTTTTAGGGGGAAATCAGAGTTTATTATCGACCTTTTTCATAAAGTTCTTCATTACAATAATTTTTTTTTCAGATTGTAGGTGTCTGTTCAAAATATTAGGGGAATTTTCATTTTTGTCAAAAAATATTTATTTATATTCCTCAGATATAATACACTCGTGCCTGTGTTTTCTCCAAACCTCGAAGCAGCTCTGATATGCATCCTTTTGATATATCCTTGAGCTCTCTCAACGATTCGGTTTTTATCTCCTCAATATTCGCAAAACGCCGTCCATTCATGGGTCTCCTCAATCATGGGAAGTCGCAGGGGGGCAAATCTGGTGAATACGATGGCTTAGGCATGATAACAATGCTGTTGTTGGCTTAAAAAGTATGAACAAGCAAAGACGAGTGAGAAGGTGCATAATCGTGATGCAAAAGTCATGAATTGTTTTTGGACAATATGGGACGTTTTATTAGTATTACTTCTAACAAGCGGCGCATAACTCCAAGGTAATACTCCTTATTGACTGTAAGACCATGTGGCAAACACGCCTGATGCAGTACGCCACGATAATCGAAGAAAACAATGAGGAAAACTTTGACATTTGATCGAGCTTGGCATGCTTTTTGGTATTGAGGCGTGCTTTTTGGTATTGACTCTCGTGGGCTTTTCCATTGGGACGATTGGACTGTGGTTTCGATATGTTATAACTATATACCCATGATGCTTGCTTACGCTACGGTTTTTTAATCAAAATTCAGCACTTTTGGAAAAAACTTCGCTGCCATACGCTTCATGCCCAAAATTTCCGAAAAAATTGCATGACATGAACCAACCGATAT